AAAATTATGTATATGTATATTTAAAAAAAAACAACAACAACAACAACAACAACTTGAATGCATATGCCACTGCCACGCATATAATCTTCTACTACTATATCATCACTACAATTACTGCTGCTACTTCTTCCAACATGTCATTCTCGGCTGTGAAAAATCTGCGAATGGCAACTCTTTGATTCGTATATTTATGTGCCTTGAATGAACGAATGACGAAAAAAAAAAAAAAAAAAAAAAAAATGATGCGGTGGCCAACGTTGACGCTGCTCTCACATTGTTGGTACTTCTGTCCCTTTAATCACATGCGACCGTCAACCGATGCGCTTGCCCGTACACGCAATGCGACCCAATAATAACGGTGTCGCATTAACTACGCCACCAACGTACGAACGCACGCACCTCCGCCTACTTCTGCGTTTGATCGGCTGCCTCTCCCCACCGACCCACCGCGTACGGTGAGTTATACATATTATATATGCAATTATTATCAATGTCATGAATAACCAAACAAATCAACAATGATATCGATGTCTTGAGTAAAAATCATCATTACATGTGTATAAAAATGAGGGGAAAAAATACTAAAGGGTAGTTTTTCCACGAGTTTGTCATGTGTACATAATATCATATACATACATTATACGTACATCATTTAGGTGCATGGGTCCGCCTCGGCGGTATAATATATGTTTGGGCGCTTCATAACAACACAATGTATATGTTACGTGTATATGTATGCGTAAAAAAACATACACACATACACCCACACACACAGTCGCCCCTCTTCCGGTGGTTGTGGCTGCTTTTTCTTTGAACACCGCCCCTTATTAACAAAGATCAAAAGTGTCGCGGTTTGAATAAATCAGCCAAAGTAATTGCCAGAATCGCTCGCGCACGTCCTCCTCGAATTGGAGCGAGGAGGCAAGTACCCTCGGCCGGAATAAAAGAAGGGTATATATATATGTATATATAATGTGCTCGGTGCAAGCGGAACTTTAAATTATCGAGCTTAAAAAGAGAGAGAGAGAGAGAGAGCGCGACGGAAGCAGCAGTACAGCAGTGAGCTGTGCGCGATACCTAATACTTATACTTACCCCGAGGAGAGACACACAAATCAGCGCTGCAATTACCAGAAGTAACGGCTATACATTATATGGCTCTGTATACCTATATATATATATTTACTGCAGCATCTACGGGTATTGGGGAATATCGCGCGCACGGGTTGTACAGTGTATTACATAAACACGCGTCACACGTACATTATTGTATATACGTACAAAGGGGTGGATGAAGGAAAAAAAAAAGAGACGCCGTCCCGATGCGAGTGGCGCCGACGACTCGAGCCGCGATATCTGAACTGCGGACTCGATCGGTGTACTTTTTTTTCTCTCCCTCTCTCTCTTTTTTTCTGTATACGCTTCATTAATAATTAAAACAGATGCTCGCTTTGGGCTCGATTTTATTGCAAATGGTGGTGTGTGCTTATGGGCGCTGGGTACACCTTTTTTTTTCTCGACTCACCAAAAAACAAAAAAACAAAACCTTTTACTAGAAATTTATTCTTATCGCGTGCCAAGTGTCGTCTCCTCTTTCCCACGATGAAAAATTGTGATGTAGCGCGGCTGCTCGCCGAGGTCGCGCCCCTGTCGGGCCGTCCGCGTGAAAAATATATATGCGGCGGCTGAAAAATTAACGAGATCAAAAGTGAAACGTATCTGTAAATAAGTACATGTATCACTGTAGAAAACTGTTTTTTTTTTTTTGTTTCTTCTTTTCACAACAAAAAAGATCCCTGTTGAAAAATTAATGTACAAGTGCACGATACATGACCATATACTAATTTGATGTACGTTGTACATACTTATTATACATATACACAATGAATAAGGTAGTTCGATACACTTCACATAATAATAACATAGCTGTATATACTTTGTATAAATATATGTATAACACGATGTACCTGTGTTATTATCTTTGGTGTTGTGTAACCGTATTTTCTCCTGTCCTCCGTTGTATGGTTACGGTGTCGCAAACCAACCAAATGTCGTATGTTAGCTAAAGTTGCCACGTAGAAAATTGACCAATCAATATAATATATCAGTCATAGGTACTGTGTGCATGAAAAACCAAAGCGGCATATACATAACAATAGTCACCCTAACATTTTAAAACGTAGAACATAATTATGTACGTATTGGGGGTGAAAGGCCAAAAAATTCGCATTGGTGGCAATGTACAGGGGAGCGAAATCGTCATTCCGGTCGATCGGGGGAAAAGCTTTGCACACATCCTCACTCGCGACAATTAAAAGTTGGACCACGTGCACGCTACTAAGGGGCGTCGAGGAATCAAAGAGTCGTACGGTATAATTACACGTCGCCTCCTCCCCTTCCTCGTTTCTTTTTTTTTTTATGTTAGCACGAAGGCGTGCATACAAACGCGTTGGGAGAAAAATTAAGGTAGTAAAAGTCATATTAGGAAGAGGACTCGCGCGCGTCCGCGCCAGACCGTCTATCTCCGCGATGCAGCCGTCGTTATCTCCGGACTCGCTCGCGCGCCCTTTAATTTTTCATTTCTCGCGCTTCCGTAACTTTAACTGCACTTTTTACACTTAAAAAGTTTCCTCCCCCGGCGAACCGAGTTTTTATTCCGCGGAGAAGGAATTCGCGGGGGTAATTTCGCGTGATTTTTCCCTCCCTCCGATCGATCCGCAACTGTGTGGCACACTTTGTACTGTTTTTTTAATCAACGATACAAAAAACGCCTGAAATGATAGTGATGATCGGTTATCGGCTCGACTCGATGATTTTACACGAACGAGTGACAATTGTTGCTTCGGACACCGACTCGCTTGCAGGGGCCTTGAATCGCCCATCAATTGTCCTTTTTACGTGTTCCGATGTTTTTAATATTGGTGTTGAGTACGTCACTGTGAGCTTTCAAGAAATTTTGCAGCGCGCGTGCTTCGGTTGAAACGCTCTTGTAAATTTTGAGTACGCAGGGGAAAAAAAAAAAATTTATACGCTCCTCTAATACATGCGTTGCAGTTAACGCTGGCCAACATAAAAAAATGAAATTGATGTAGCGCGCCGTTAAACAGCACAAAATGGTTACCCGAGTACAGGAATAAAAGTACAAGAAAAAATTCCGATTCCACGGTACGCGTTAACTTTTGCCAAGTAAACCGTATAATATAGGTACCAAGGCCAGCGAATGCGGCAGCTCCCGTCAAGACGGGCATGGCCTTCGAAAAGAACAAAGGACACCCAGAAAACAAAAAAAGAAAAAAAAATGATTGATTGGAAATACAAATAATCGAGAGTCCGCCCCCCCCCCCCTCGCATGCGCACGACAACCGTTGCACGTGTAGAACATTAATCCAGTAGTGATTCAGCATGCGTGGCTACATTTTTTATTGATATTATTGCTTATTGTTAAAATACCATGTCATCCGCGTAATGGCTTGTGTTTTACACCAAAAGCTTTCGAGTCATCGGGGCTCTCTCTCTCGTACTTATATCGTCAGGAGTCGATGGTAACTCATAACCCACACATGCGCGCGAGGGAGCCTCGACGTCCTCGACGAACGCAAAAACATGTATATATGTACCGGCTGGGAGAGACTACGTACAGTGCTTTTTTTTTTTAATCCACGCGATTCTTTTGATTTGAGTACACTCAACATCATTATAGATTTACACTTACTTTAATTGCACATTGCAAATTATAGTTACGCTTACACCCGATGCACCAGCAAAAATAACATTTTTTTATTAAATGCCGCGTCGAGGCAGCGTGCGTCGTCATTCGCATTTATTGTTATCTCTCACGTATACGTCCGGGCGAAATCTGCGGCTTTTCCTCGTCACCGCGTGTGTATGCATGCTTATATACATAGAAAGTATATCCAAGACACCGAGATGGGCATTACTTTTGATTGCGGGTGCAAACGTCTCATTCCCCGTCGCGATGAAAACTAGCCGCGAAGACGACGTGCACCACACATAATGGCACAACGAGGCGGGACCTTAAGCGTCTCCCCTTAGCTGGTACATTACCGCGGGACACACGCTTTATTTATTATTACTTTTTTTTTTTTCCTCGTACAGCACTGGCTGTCTCTCTCCCGCGGTGTATAGCTGTACGTGCTTCGTCCCACTTTGCCAGCCGTAAGCGACGCTTTTTTTCCTTCTACACCTACGTGCCGGGGCTGCGAGATTATTACATTCAATTTTGCGTCAAACTCTCCTTCTTCCTCTCCTTTGCTTCGTCCATCCTCTCTTTGCCAAGGGAATATGGACGTGAGACGTGTCATGTATGCATGGGAGGGCATAAATATACCGCGCAGCCGAGTCGCATTATTCTTTGGACTCTTGTTTCATTGGAACGAGACGGAGAGAAGAGACGTTTTTTGCCGTTGCTTTGGCTGGGGTTTTTTTGCTTTTTCAAAATTGAGAGAGAGAGAGAGACGCGCCTCGGTACGAGCGAGCGTGGGAATCGCGCGAATTAGCTTTGCAGAGAATCAAGTGTATGCGCGTCGCGATGCGCTGCATGTAAAGTGTTTTTCTTTCTTTTTTGCCGAGGCGTACTTATGTGCGCGCGTTAAGATGCGGCGACGTCGCGTGTCATCGTCGGAGAGTCGAGCAGTCGGTGGATACATCGCATACCATTTGCATTTATGAATCACAAATTTCTCGTCTCTCTTTGACTTTCAGTCGCGTAGGTATACTAACGGAAGCTCCTTTTTTTTTCAAAGTTTTACGACTCGCTTCGTGTACGCACTTCAAATGTTATCATATGTACACACATATGCATGCGTATAAAACAACACACTCGCGCATCAAGAAAAAGTCATCATGCACATATTTATATACACATTGTTTTTGTTATTGTTATTGTAATACAGGGTATAGTCACGACAGTGTGTAGCAAGTTTGTACATGCATATTATACCAACTGACGAGCGTGGGGGTGGGATTTTGTCGATTTTTCAGGTGCAGCAGCCAATTTACGCAAGGAAGTCATTCGAAACAAGATCCGGGCCATCGGAAAAATGGCACGCGTCTTCTCAGTCCTCAGGTAAAGTGAGAGATACGTATATTTACGACCTACGTGACGCGAAATGTTTGCACGACCCCGCGGTACCACGTAACACATTATACTGCAGTTTACCCCCCTCTTTTTTCTTTCCTCTTGTATTCCCTTACACTTTTTTTGTGTTCGGCCGGTCGCCCGGGGAAATCGAGTCCACCGGGACTTTCGGGAAGTTCTCAACTTTTCTCCAGGGCGCGTGTGTATATATATGAGGAAAAAAAAGGAAGAATATAGTAAATAAATAAATAAAATTGCGCGACGCGGCGAGTCCGAATAAAGGAGGACTCGGGTGCTTTGATTTTTACTTCGCGACCGATGGGAATCAATAAATTAACCCTGACTCTCCCATTTTTTTTGCGCTTGTATCCCTGATGCTCCAACAACAACCTTTCCTTTCCGCCCTCGTCCTTCCAAATTACACTCTCACGGTGCAAGTATAATACTTGGCACCTGTCGAATTGATTTTCACGTGCTCCTCCGTTGCAGGGAAGAGAGCGAGAGCGTGCTACAGCTGAAGGGACTAACGCCGACCGGCGCCCTGCCGCTCGGCGCGCTGTCTGGCGGAAAGACGTCCTTGAAAAACGGTAACAACCCTTCCCCCGCCCCTTTTTTTTTTACAATTTTTTTTTTTTGAATCTAAAACGATGGAAAAACAAAAAAAAATGATCGACAGCGCTGCAAGGGTTCTCGCCAAATCACAAGATCACGTCGTTCGCCGAGGCAAAGGGCCTCGACGCGATAAACGAGAGGATGCCACCGCGAAAGGACGCGCCCCCGACGCCGGTTAACGAGGAGAAGCCCGCAGTGGTGAACAAGTCGCCGGCCCCGGTGCCACAACAGCAGCAGCCCACCGACAAGCGGGACCACTCCACGACGCAACAGCCCCACTCGTGAGCCTCGCACTCGACTCCGTAAAAAGGTATGTACACACGCAGCACCGTTGATTGTTTTTTTTTCCCCCCCCCCCATCCAACTTGTGTCTTTTTTTCACGGGCGCAGGTAACGATGGCGATACCCAAGTCCACAGCGGTTGCCAAAGCTACGAATAATACATACAAAAACATTTGCATATTATGTACATCTATATCTACAACCATCGCTCGTCTCTTCCCGGACACTATACTTTACATGAGAAAAAAAACAGCGCATCACAAAGCATCAACAGCCAAGTATACAGCAAACCAATCAGTCGAGCTCGTCGAGTCCACGTGCGAGCGTCAACGATGAAAGGAAATGGCACCCGCGCCGGATATATACTACACATTATGAAGAAAATAAAAAAAAAAGAAGTAAAGGGACTGTTGCAGCGAAACGGCGAGGGAGCCTGTATAAGTACACTTGATTCGCTCGACTCGGGAGCCCAACGGATATTATTTGCATGTGCGTTCACAGACACACCATATATATATATTGGCCAACATAAAAAAATGAAA